AAATAAAATCTTAAAAAAAAAAAACTATGTAATGTATATGATTAACATAACATAATAATTAAAAAAAAAAAAAAGTTGCTTTGTAGTTACCAGGATGGTTACAGAGAAGATCAAATGTCATCTTTGAAAAAGCTATTCAAGGTATTATTAAAAAGTCAAAAAGGTCTCAAAAAAAAAAGTCAAAAAGGCTATTGGGATATTTGATGTCTTATATATAAAAAGGAAAAATCTATTTCTGATTGTCACAGACTGAGTTTTTGCCTTAGTTTCCCCAGTCTCAATCTTAGCTTTCTGTTGCCCACTGTGGCCTACTGTCCACTCCATCAGCACTTCCCAAGTCCAACCAGCCCACCCACGAATGGCTCTTCAGAAAGTCTCTTTTATTTTCTCTTAGTCTAAGCCACTTATGACTTTCAATTCCATTTTCTGAAGCAAACTAGGTCTCCATTATTTATGGGAGCCTGTTATTCATGGAGCAGTCTCTTGAACATAGATGTCACCTCCAAAGTATTAAATAATAATTGTGGTAGCTTTCCATCAGTAGCAATCTGAGCCAGATGCAAAGCTATTTATTCAAAGTGAAGGCTATGTCATTAATCAGTAAGTCCCCAAATGACTGTCTTTTTCTATGCTTACCCTTCTCTATCATCCTTTGTATAGTCTACTTTTTCAGGTTTTCATTAAAAGTGCACTGTAAAATTATGATAATAATCTCTGGGGGGATAAAACACACTGGTGGTCCTCCTTAGAAAAGCTACTACTGAAAGATGATATAATTAGTTGTCAGCCGTATGGTCATTTTTGTTTCTTAATTTAACTTGCTATGCAATGTTTCCGTGTGTGTGTGTAGATAAATGCATTCGTTTGTTTTGCTATTCCTAATAGGTTGTGAGATTCTTAAGGATAAGGACTATGACTTCTCCCTCTCTTGTGATCCTAGTATCAATCAGTACCATGAACATAATAGATGCTCAATAAACACTGGTAAATAAATGAATAAATCCTCATTCTGCATGGCTCATTGTTCTGTAGGAGCAATTCTCTTCAGTTACGCTTACCAAGTAAAACACCCTGCAAAAGCCCAGTGCCCGTGACTCATGGAGGCTGCTATGTTTGCTAAATTATGTTTCTGACCCTCAGGGCATTATAGCACACTCATAGAGAGAAGTGCCAATGTTGCTTTAAAGCAGTTACTTTCAAGCAGAAGTAACAGAAAACATCCTTTTCCATGTGCCCCAATTAGCTGCAAAATTAACAACTCTCTGATCCTGCAAAAGTCCCTTCTTTTACCACCTTTTCCTCTCCCTCCTGTGCCCTATGCCACCCCCCAGCCACACAAAAATCAGCAGTGGTTGGATAATATTTACATGATATAACTTCCTCATTCAACAATCTGGTTCCAAGGGTGGTCCTCACAAAATAAATGAAGAAAAACAGCATGAGATCTTTCTCGATCACTGTTACCTACCTTCTGTGTTCCTAGGTGGGCCCTAAAAGAACGACTCCCAAAGGCCCGTTTAGGCACCCTTGGCTGGGATGGCTGCAGTCGCCTCCTGCTCTCCCTCTTTCCAGCTACCCTCATTCTGTTCCATGTTCCATACCACACCAGAGTGATCTTTCTAAAATGCACTTATTCCTCTATTTGAGAAACAAAATAGCTTGAATTTCCAAGAGCAGTGGTTGTTAACTTTTGATGGAGGACTCTTCCCACCCCACCCAAATATCCATGTGCATAAATCCACTAAGCATCACATACAATTTTAGATGTTCCTTGGATCACAGGATTAAGATCCTAGGGAGCCTAGGGAGAAGGTTCTGCTCCTACACAAAATACCAAGGTCCTCCACAATCTTCCCAAACTATGTTTCTAAGTCATCACATCTCCCCGAATTCTCCTAACAAACAAAATTCCAGATAGATTTATCACCCAAAATGCCTTTCCCATTTACATTTCCATGTGTTAGAAAACTGAAGTCAGAAGCCCTGGATTCCAAGTACCTGAGGGACTTTATTAATCACATACTTTCTAAAGTTCAGTTTCCACATGCACAAACTGACAGATCTGATTTAGATCTGTGTTTCCCAGAGTGATATGCAAACCACTGATTTTGGATGACCCATGATTATTTTTTATTGTAAGAATTGTATGTTTGCAGAGAGCAGATTGGTGGTTGCCAGAGGTGTTGGGGAGGGTGGAAGAAAAAGGTGAAAGAGGTCTAAAGGTACAAACTTCCAATTATAAAATAAATAAGTCATGGGATGTAATGTACAGCATGGTGACTATGTGAATAATACTGCATTGTATATTTGAAAGTTGCTAAGAGAATAGATCTTAAAAGTTCTCATCACAAGGAAAAAAAATTTTGTAACTATGTGTGGTGATGGATGTTAACTAGTCATATTCTGGTAATCACTTCACAATACGTACATATCAGAAATTATGTTGTACACCTTAAACTAATGTTATAGGTCAATTATATCTCAATATAAAACTTAAAATAATTTTTAAAAGAATTGTGTGTTTATTTTAACATAATTTGGGAAAAATATATATTTATAAATTCTATATTTTTAAATTTGTAATATAACATTAATGGCACATCTCAACTATAACATACAGATATTATTACACAGGACAAAGAAAAGTGTTAAAAATAAGTCAGTCTGAAATCTATTTAAATACATATTAAGTAGATAATAGGTGATATAAAGATACTGCAAAAATTAACAAGATCATAGGCAGATCTGAAGATCAAGGGGCACTGGACCAAATGATCTCCATGACTCATCCCAGCCATCGGCCATGATAGTTCCTTAGACCATTTCTTCAAGGAGAACTTGGCTCCCAGAGCTGAACATAAGCTACTCTCCCCAAAACAATAAGGAAGGAGATCAAAGAGCTGCCTTTTTATTCTCAACAAGAAAATAAAAAAGGGTGAATTAAAAAAAAAAAAACAAAAAAACAATTTCTGAGGTGCCTGTGGGGCTCAGTCAGTTGAGCAGCCAAGTCTTGATTTCAGCTCAGGTCCTGATCTCAGGGTCCTGGGATCAAGCCCCGCTTCAGTGGGGACTCTGCTTGAGATTCTCTCCCTCTGGCCCTCACCCCACTCCTGTGTGTGCTCTCTCTTTCTAAAATAAATAATCCTTTAAAAAAACATTTTCCATTTTTAGATGGAGTCAAAGATAAGGGATTTTATTTGAGTTGCCCAAAATCCATCAGGAGAGTATTTCTGGAAATAGAACCCAGAACTTGCTCCCTTGGGACTGGCATTGACAGTTTTGTTGGGACCAACCAATGGCAGAGTTATGACTCAAAACATAAATGAGCACAAATTTCTTTCTTAATGACTAACATATACACATTCAGATTCAGATAGAAACTGCAGCTGCTCCCTCCATCTACTCCAAGTTTGATGAACAGATGGCAGGCTTCCTCTGGGAATGGAAAGATTTAGGGCTGCCTCACAGATAGAAATTGCATAAAGTTAGAACAACAGGAGGAGTGGGTGTTATAACTACAAATGCATTTAAGAATTGCCACAAAAATGATCTGGGTCCTATGTGCTGCACATCATTCATGGCTGTGCCTGTTTTATAATTAAAATATTGATGATTCAGAGGCCAAGTATCATTCCACCTATAGATATATATATACAGATAGATGGATAGATAGATAGATGGATGGATAGATAGATAGATATACACACATACATACATACATACATACATACATACATACATACATATATGATGACTACTGCACCCAACAAGATGAAAGTTTCTTCTGGATTATATTTTTCCCCTAATTTAAAAATAATCTTCCTAACATCTTCATCTTTACATAAAATTAAGTCCTAGGAATTGGGAGCTGTTTCCTTCCTTAATGGCAATACAGACAATTGTTTTGTTCTATGATGCTATCCCATAATGTAAAATCAAACCAAAGGGAGAAAGAGAGAATTATTGTTTAGTGGGTACAGAGTTTCAGTTTTCCAAGATGAAAAAGTTCTGGAAATCTGTTGTACAACAACACAGATATACTCAACACTACTGAACCAAACACTTAAAAATTGTTGTTAATTTTTAAAGATTAGGCAAAGCTAGGAAGTGTTGGATGTAAAATCTGAAGAACCTCCAATAATCGTGGATTGAAATAAACCCTGAAAAAGCAAAAGAAGAAAAGGAAATAAAGCAAGCATTTGGTGTACATTTAAAGATGCCTCTAGCTAATACCCTCTGGAGATAAGCCCACTGAGAGGAACATAAGGCAGCTCAGACTGAGCAATGAGTGATAGGAAATTGTCAGGAGAAACAAAGGGACCCCTTTCAAGGGATGTAAAAAAGTAACATACCAAGAAAGTCTACTTATATGAGAGGACAGCTCTGATAGTAAAATATGGACCAGCTTGCTGTAGGCTTAGTGGAGGGATAATGAACAAGGTGAAGAGGTACAAACAAGGTAATTTTTAACCATTGGTTTGATGATAGCACAGAGGGCTCATCCCTTCTAGCCCTTACTATCTCCTTCCTCTTCACCTAATTCCTCATCAGTTGTAGTTCTCATTTCTAAGAAAAAACCATGGCATAATTTTTAATGAGTTGAGAGTAAGGAACCTTAGATTCTGGCCTCTGTACTGTAATTAACCAGCAGTTCCCTTTGAAAGCTCTTTCTCTCTGTATCCTCATCTCTAAAGTGAGAGCCAGATACCTAGGGATCTAGGATCTCCTCTTGCATCAATAGGCACTGACTGTCAGGATGAAGAATATTAGAAGTTTGCTGTGATATTTGGTTCTCTGCCTCATCCCCTCTACCTGAATAACATGCTACCTGACACTTCGTAGGGAAGAGATCTCGAAATTATACCTGGGAGCTATATTAGGCTATTAGGTGTTGCCTGGGTTTTAGGCATTGAGAAAAAAATGAAGTTTGGAAAATAATGTATCTTTTTTTTTCTTTTCAAGTTTTTATTTAAATTCTAGTTAGTTAACATACAGTGCAATGTTGGTTTCTGGAGTAGAATTCAGTGATTCATCACTTACATACAACACCAGTGCTCATCATATCAAGTGCCCTCCTTAATACCCATCATCCATCTAAGCCCATCCTGGAAAATAATATATCTTAAATTTTACAGATAACATGATGGAAAGGAAATAATAGAAAAAATATAGACACCTTTGTACAAAGAACTCTTAAAGCTCCAAAGTAGGAAAACAAACAACCCAACAAAAAAAATGAGTTAAAGACTTTAGCAGACACCTCACCAAATAAGATATATAGACAGCAAATAAGTATATGAAAAGATGCTCCACCTCAGATGGTCAAGAGGGAAATACAAATTAAAACAACAAAGAAATACCACTACACGTCTATTAAAATGGCCACAATCTGGAATCCTGACGCACCAAGTGCTGGTGAGGATGTGGAGCCACAGGGACTTTCATTCATTGCTGGTGAGAATGCATAATGGTACAGCCACTTTGGAAGACAATTTGGCAGTTTATTACAAAAACAAACATGCTGGGATGCCTGGGTGGCTCAGTCGGTTAAGCATCTGGCTTCGGCTCAGGTCATGATCCTAGGGTCCTGAGATCGAGTCCCACATCGGTCTCCCTGCTCCGCAGGAAGCCTGCTTCTCCGCCTGCTGCTCCCCCTGCTCATTCTCTCTCTCTCTGACAAATAAATAAAATCTGAAAAAAAAATAAAATAAAATAAATATGCTTTTACCTCACAATCCAGCAATTACACTCTTCAGTATTTATTCAAAGGAGTTAAAAATATATGTCCACACAAAAACCTGCACACAGATGTTTATAGTAGCTTCATTCATATTGCCAAAACTTGGAAGCAACTAAGATGTCCTTCAGTAGGTGAATGGTTAAACAAAAGGTGGTACATCCAGACAATGGAATATTATTCATAAATGAGCTATTAAGCCATTAGAAGACACAGGGGAGCCTTAAATGCATATTGCTAAGTGAAATAAGCCAATCTGAAAAAGCTACGTATTATATGATTCCAACTATATGACATTCTGGAAAAAAACTATGGAGACAGTAAAAAGATCACTGGGTTGCCAGAGGTTGGAAATGTAGAGAGAAACAAATAGGCGGAGCACTGAGGATTTTTAGAGCAATGAATATACCCCGTATGATACTATAATGGACACTACAATGGTGGATACAATGTCATTACAGATTTGCCCAATGTACAACACCAAAAGTGAATCATAATATAAACTGTGGACTGTGGGTGATAAGGATGTATCAATGTAGATTCATCAATTGTAATAAATCTGGTGGGGGATGTTGATAATGTGGGGAGGCTCTGCATGTTGGGGGGCAGGAGGTATATGGGAAATCTCTGTGCCTTCTGCTCAATGCTGCTGGGAACATAAAATTGCTCTAAAAAATTGTCTTAATAAAATCTTTTTAAAAAGAATAACTGAAAAAAGTTACTGAAAACTACTAAACATGATCATTATGGTGAACAAAAAACTAGATATATTTGAAAATATATGTGGCATATAAGAACCACAATATGGTTCTAAATCAAAGGGAATGAAGTCATTTAACAGAAGTGCCATGAGTAGAACTATCTTAACTGACAGGGACACCTGGGTGGTTCAGTTGGTTAAGTGTCTGCCTTTGGCTCAGGTCATGATCCCAGGGTCTTGGGATGGAGCCCCATGTTGGGCTCCCTACTCAGTGGGGAGTCTGCTTCTTCCTCTCCCTCTGCCCCTCATGCTGGCTCTCTCACTCTCTCTCAAATAAATAAATAAAATCTTAAAAAAAAAAAAAGAACTATCTTAACTGACAAATAATCCAAGATAACAAATGGCAAGCAGAACAAGGTAAGAAAGATTGGTATTTCTTAGGAAACTAAGGTAATAGTTAAATTCTTTTCTAGAACATTCAAGATACAACAGGGGCACCTGGGTGGTGCAGTTGGTTGAATGTCCAACTCTTGGTTTTGGCTCAGGTTATGATCTCAAGGTCAAGAGATGGAGCCCCTCCTGGGCTCTGTGCTCAGCAGGGAGTCTGCTTGAGGATTCTCTCTCTCCCTCCCCCACGCCCCTCCCCCCATCTCTCTCTCTAAAAAAAAAAAATTTCAAGAAATAACAGTACAGAGTTTATAAAGTCTGGCTCTCTCTATAGCTTAGACATCTTGATTCAGGAAATCAATACAGAAGGATATACAGGTGAAATAGCTTTGGAGCGTTCATGGATATCACAGAAAGTCATTCTGTGGCCTTCACATACAAAAGGCATCCCACCTAGATGTTTCTTCTTTGATCACAATATTTTCTCCCAAAACTCTGCAGCTGCCGTCATTGTCCCTTAGTGTTTTGGGTCTCCAAAGAAAATCACCTGAGAAAGACATCATTTTTGTTCCCTTTGTTAGTATGTTTTGCCCACTTTGTTGCTTGAGGAACTTTTTCCCCTGTCCTTTGTAATTCATGAAAATTGAGAGGATGTGGCCAGTTACGTAAAAACAAGATTTCCAAAAAAAGAATGTATATATACCTATGTGTGTTTATTACACATTTTACTGATAAATAGTATGGATAGCACACAAATGCTAAATAATAATAAAATACATAATTCTCTTTATTCTAAATCCCATATAGCTAATTGATTCTCATTGAATGTTTCCTTGATTTTTACTGAACTCTTGTTACTATGGTTGCAATCAAGAAATTAGTGTGATTCCAACATGAATGTTGGTTGATCGTTTCTTTTACACTAACAAAAAGAAAGAGAAAAATTTATATTAGAATTTTACTCATCTGTCAATGACCTGAGAAAATTCTTTTTTTAATAGATAACTTCTGAATACTGGAAGAATGTTCCTTTAATTTTTTGTGCTATTCACAATATAATGATGACAGACATAGCATACTTTTTTTTAAATTTATTTTTATTTCTTAGAGAAGGAGGCAGGGGGAGGGGTAGAGGGAGAGAGAGAAGGAGAATCCCAAGCATGCTCCATGCCCAGAGTGGAACCCGACACGGAGCTCGATCCCACAATCCCGAGATCATGACCTGAGCCAAAATCAAGAGTCAGACACTCAACCAACTGAGCCACCCAGGTGCTCCCAGGCACAGCATACTTTTAAGTTTAATCTTCTTTATTAATGTTTTCTCCATGTACTTTCTTCAGTCAAGACAAGTAACAAAACAAGAAACCAAACCATGATGTGTAGCATTGACTTCAATGGTGTAAATACTCCCACTATGACTGATTTCAAGTCACCAGTGTGACGTCACTGAGCACAGAGTTGGGAGGGGATGTGCAGAAGCAAGCCATTAGATAGCATTTAACCTGTACAAGAGGTGTAAATAACCTCAAGAGCACAGATAATAGTAAAATAATTATAGAGTGATAACTTTTGAGTATTTGCTACCTTTATTTTTAATATGATTTACTTAACTGTAAGTTTATAACTTCATTTTTAACAATGACTATGTTTAATGACCAGCTCACAGAATTTCTAAAAATTTAAAAATCAGCTCTCAAAAGCTAGTATGAGGTTTTTCCAGCACACCATTGACTGTGGCCCTATGCTGGACTGTGAGCACTGATTAGCCTGGAATTTGGGGAGTCCAATCAGTCTGCATCTGTCTCCTCTCCCTCTCTCCCCCACCCACTCCATTCTCTACTGCTCCCTTTTCCACATGTCTAGCTCTCTAGCCTTCTTTCTCATTCTCTCTCAAGTTCCCAATAGTTTTTGTTTGGCCATGTTTTTGTTCTATTTGTTTTTGTTTTACCCCCAAAGAAGACCTATGATTCTGAAGATAAATCACTGATTCTCTATGTCCATGTCAGTCATTTTCACTTTCATAATGTTTCTTTTTAATTTAGTTTTTTTCCCATGAACCTGAGAAAAATCTCTCATCTTTGAATCAGATTTTTGCAGCTTAAATTCTGCTTTTTACTGCTATTGCATTCTCAGTTTCTTTGTTAACTTCCAGTGACTCGCCATTATACTTTTGGTTTAGGCATTTCCGGAAGCACTTTTATTTTTAAACCATTACAGAGAAAGGACAAGAGTGATCTGCTGTCTCAAATTTCAGAAATTACACTGTATATCTATATTGAGGAACAAAAACCCAGAAAGAAGCAGAAGTGGAGAAAGGGTGAAAAATCCAGTAAGTTCGATATAAGCTTGTTACATGCAAAATGAATGACATAGTTACCATGAATGAACTGTTAACCGTCTCGTACACTAGCCAAGTTCCACACCTTTTTACAATCATCTAAAACTTGTTCCACCAACTTTTACAAACTGTAATGCTTAAATTTCAGAATGATAAACTCAAGTGCCCTAATAAAATAATTTGACAAGGTCATCCACTTCGTTTTACTTTGAATGACAGGAAAATAAAATAGAGGACTTTGTCACTTATGATAAACAAGAGAGGACAATCAAATTGAAGTGGTGAGAACTCTTGCTAATTAACTAACAAAGGCTCATTTATAGTTTACTAATTCCTAAACTCAGTGGCCTTATAAAACAGAGTTTGCAGCACAGCTGTTTATAAACATAGCATGTTTAGGTTCAACAGATGTGCCTTTTAGTTTTCCTTAAAGTTGACTCTCTTTGTAAAAGAAGACACAGAGTGCTGATTTCATGTTTTTCTTTTGTAAAGAGGGGCTTATGTTATTTTTTCCATACATGTATTTTCTTCCTATCTCAGTCTGTTCTTTCCTTATGATTTTCTATTTCTATTTCATTGAATCTGAGTCTTCTTGAATGACATTGAGAACTCCTAATTTTTTTTAAAAAGCATTTTTCTTGTTCTTTCTCCATAAATATCCTTATATATCCTTAGGTATATATTGTCTCCATTCTTGGAGCTATATACCTTCTCTGGAGCCTCAGAATATTTCCCTTCCCCCACCTTTGCATGGAGTCTATATTGTTGCTCTTGTTTTTTTTCTTTCTGTATTCGTCATCAAATAAGGAAAGAGTCATCAGTGTTTGCCAGAATACTTGTCCTCCTGAGTGCTGATTCTTAGATCTATACCTGGAAAGCAACACAATAAGCAGAACTCCCTCTTTTACTTCTTGCATTGAGCAGGCCTTCATCATATGCAGCTTTATTATACTGAATTAAAATTACCCTCTAATCCCATTGCTTGATCCTTTGAAACCTGAATTATTAGAGTATGTTGACAAAGACAATGCCCAGGATATAATGCTACCTGGTCTCCTCTCCTAGTTCCCTAGTCTTATTTGAGGAGACCAAATCTCTCAAGATTCAATGTACTCCTTTAGCCCCCTAATGCATCCTGCTTTGTTCTTTTCTAGGAGCTTCAGGTTCCTTCCTTCCTTCCTTCCTTCCTTCCTTCCTTCCTTCCTTCCTTCCTTCCTTCCTTCCTTCCTTCCTTCCTTCCCTCCTTCCTTCCTTCCTTCCTTCCCCCAGATCCAGAAAGAGCATGGTAAGTTTAGGGAGGCACAGTACAGTGGCTCTTTCACAAGCAAAATCCATGGAGTAGAAGAATGAATAGCCAATTATCTTTTTGAACAAACTCTGAAGATTTTGTCCAGACCAGATGGTGGCAAGGTAAAATATCTTCTCCCCCTTTATTAGATAGATGGGATAATATTGTGTCATAAGATAAAGTGTAGACAAACTATTTGTGCTTTTCTAAATACAGTTCCACTGACATTCATTCATTCATT